AAAATGGGTAGAGGATGTGAATAGACCTTTTTCTGAAGACACATACAGATGGCCAACAGGTACGTGAAAAGATGTTCAACATCACTAATCTGTAAGGAAATGCAAACCAAAATAATGAGGTAACACCTCACAGCTGGTAGAATGGCTATTATCAAAAAGACAAGATGTAACAAGTTAGTGAGGATGTGGATAAAATGGAACACTTGTGCACTATTGGTGGGAGTGTGAATTGGTGCAAACACTATAGAAAATAGTATGGTGGTTCCTCAAAACATTAAAATAGAACTACCAAATCATCTAGCTATTCCACTTCTGGGTATTTACCAGAAGAAAATCCTCATTTCAAAGAAAACTTCTCATTTACCCAAGAAAACCTCTCTCATGTTAAAACCCTGATGTATGACTCCCAGTCTTCTTTTAAGATGGCCTTAAATTTTGTCATCAATCTGTTGTCCAAAAGAATCATGAATTACACCTATTTCCTAATCAGTTAGCATTTTGCTTCTCTCAAATTCTTCCAGTCTCAACAAAAGTCATGTGGCCACCCCAATCCTGGATGACTTACACAAGCACCTAAAAAGATACACACAACCCCTTGGCCTCTCATTTCCTTGACCACCTCAGCTACCTAGGCCTATGGTCACACCCTGAGTAGTGTCAGAGCCCATGATCTTGCTACCTCTGGAAGCAAAATTGCTGCCTGTCTTCTGACCACAAAAACCCATCTTCCCAGCTGGCTAGTTCGGCCACTTCCATCATGGTTAATTCTTTTCCAAACCTAGGCAACCCAGCCCTGGAGAAGAGTCACACAACTGAGCAATTGCTTCCACCATAATCGCCAATTTCAAACAGAGCCTCAGGCTGCCTGCAAAAACTATTACATTTTTTTTTACCAAGACACTCTCCCATTCTCTGTAATGACCCTGTCAAACTTTCTCCAGCTCCCCTAATCTATGACCTGCCTACCTCTTACTTCACTTTCAGCTGATGTCCCTACTTCTTTTTTTACTTTACAAAGAAAATAGAAGCTTTAGATTAGAACTTCCTTATTTCACAGCTCTCAAAAAGAAGAAAATCCTTACCTACTCTAAAATACTGGCTTACTTTCTGATAAAGTGGAGGAGGTATCCTTTCTCTTATCTAAGGACCCACCCATTAATTTGTGCTTTGGACCTTAAACATTTCCTCATTTTCAAGAACTGTTCACCATTAATTAACTCTAGTTTTTCTTTAATATTCAACCCCTCACTCTCATCTGAATTCTTCCTATCTGGAAACCATTTTTTTAAATAAATAAAATCTGCCTCAATTGCACATGCCCCACTTGCTGTTGTCTCCCTACCCCTCACCTCCTCTTCACAGGCAAACTACTCAAAAGGGTTATTTTGCTTCTTGTGTTCAGTTCTTTACAACCTGTTCACTCTTCAACCCAGTCTGGCCTCCAGTCCCTATATTGAAATTGGTAATTAACATTGTTAAAGTCAATGGGCAGGCCTCAGTCTTCATCTTCCCTTGCAACATCTCCCTCTCACTTTTTCCCATTCTTGTGACTTCCATAACACTGCCTTCTCTAGGCTCACCTCCCATCTGTGTAGAGCTCTTCCTGTCTCCTGTGCAGACTCACCTTCCTCTTTAAAGATACATTGCTGAAACTTACACTTAAGCTGTTTCCTCATCCCACTCCTCTCTAAGCAACCTCACAATGGCCACCTTGGCCACTTATAGGTAGATTACTCAAACTGTCTGTCTCTGGCTCTAAACCACACTCTCCTCTGAGCACCAGGTTCTTCATACACAGCTCTCTACTTGAGTCTCCAACTGGATGTCCCAAAGGCTTATCAAGCTCAACTTGAGCAGAAGAAAACTCATTATCTTTCCTTCCCCAAATAGTCCTCTCCCAGGGTCCCTCATCTCAATGAACAGCAGCACCATCCACAATTATCCAAACCTGACTTTTAGGAGTCATTTTTGGCTTCTTCCTCTTCCTCACTCTGCCCATATCCAGCCATCACAATCTCCTGTCACTACCTTCTAAATATCTCTCAGGTTCATCTATTTCTTTCCATTCTACTGCCACCAACCTAGTCCAACCTAACATAATCCCTTACCCAGCCCAGCTCAGAAACCTTCCTGTACCCGCTCTTTTCCTCACTTGGTCAATTCCCCAAATTATAGCAAAAGTTTTCATCACATTACAATTGTTTTAGAACATAAATCCCACCACCTCATAGCTTGAAATATTATTTAACACACTCATTGCTTTTAGGATAAGAAAACAGTCCTTGACATGGTCCTCATGGTCCTACAGGGTTTGTCCCTACTGAGCTGTCTCCATCTAGCTTTGCCTCACAGGACAGTTCCCAGATCTCCAGTCACACCGGTTTACACTAAATTCCTGATCCCTCTGCCATTCCCTCACCCATGCTCTAGTTCATCAGCAAACACTGGTAGCTCTGCTCTGAAACTGTGTCTTGAAACCAAACTCTCCTCACCATCCTCACTGTAAGAGTCAAAATTAAAACTACCATCACCTTTCACCTGGACTATATATACAGCACAGCCTACTCAGTGATATCCCACTGCTTTTTCCCTTGTCCCATTCAATCAATGTTCCAATCACCAACCAACATGATGGCATATAACTGAAATCAAATCAGGCACTCATTGCTAAAAGCTTTCCAATAGCTCTCCCCATTGCAATTAAAATAAAATCCAAAATTCTCAAGTATGTCCCCAAGGTCCTGCTTGATCTAATCCCTGTCACCTCTCTGTTACCGTCTGCCAATGCCCTATTATTTTGCTATATTCCAGTCACACAGGCCTTCTTTCTAACCTTCTACATTCCTATCTCAAGCATTTTTCTTTCTCTTCCTTCTCTTGAATGCTTTTCCAAGTTTCTAATGGCTGCCCTTTTCACTATTTTGCAAAGAGGTGTTCCCTGACCTCTGTCCTTTCTCATGAAAGTCACTCCACTGTTTGACTTGATGGCCTATATAGCACCGTGACTCTGTTCAGAACCCCCCCAGTGGCTTCCCATTACTCACAGCAGTGCCATCCATAGACAGAATATTCCCTTCCCTGCTGTCCTTCCAAAATCTCAAGAGATCCCCTAACTCAGGACCTTTGAATGTACTATTTCTTCTACCTGGAATATTCTCATCCTCAAATCCACATGAATTAACCTATCATTCATTTAGCTCTGACTCAAGTGTCACCAGTTAGATCTTCCTTCGTGGCCCCAATTAATATGCCCACTGCCATCACTATCCCTCACCTTTTCATTTGCCTCAAAATACTTACATGTGTCTATATAAGAAACATACAAACCTGAAGAAAATTTTTGAGTTTATTTGAGCCAGACTAACAATTGCTGGGAAGCAAAATCTCAACAGATTGAGAAAATGCTCCAGAGAATGGCAGTTTTACACCTTATTTTATGCATTACAATCAAAGGCACAAGGAGGGTTACAAGAAATTCATTGGTGACAGATTAGGGAGGCAGGAGAAAACAAAAAGGGGGAATCTCTGGGACTGGACAAAAAAATAAAATGAAGAAACAAATAGTTCTGTTACACTAGTGGGTACAGGATAGTTAACATTTACAGCACATAGCTGGTATGCAGGAGAAACAGACAACAATGAGGGGTTCTGTGGTCTCTGTGTTCTGGTGGGAGATTGCGCTCTGAGGAATCTGGGAAAGATTTTTCCAACATACAAAAGGTAAGTTATCATGGAGGCAAAAACACAAGAGACAGAATCAGTTAAGGTAAAGACTGACCTTTGTCAGGAAAGACATCAGCCCAGGGCATGACTACCTGCCCTGACTCTGGCTTATACTTAGGAAGTTTTGACTGCTGTAGGTCTCTGAGTTTGTAAGGCCACACCATTCAGGCCTCCCCTGAGATTGTCAGGTTTAGTACGTGGCCCCTTTTTTGAGCACACAACCTGTTAAATATTTATTGTACTCTGTTTTCTTCCAACTAGGATGTACCATTGGTGAGTGAAAGAATTATTTTCTTCACTATTTATCTCTATTGTTTATAGAAGGGTAGGTGCTTAATTGGTTCTCATTAAATAAATAACTGAAATTACCTAATTTATATGTCTAATTTATATCTTTATATCTCCACCACCTCCCCATAGAGAAACATTTGAACGCAGCTGTAGGAGGGAAGAGGAGGTTCATCCAACCCCCTTTGCAAATCGTAACTGATTTTATCTTCTGTATTTTCGGATCTCCCCCTTTCTCTCAGGAGACTGCTCTCCCAACAATCAGAAGTTATTTCCAGTCAGTCCTTGGTTGTTACAAATAATACAGCCTGGCAAGTATGCATTACTTCTTTTCATCACTGAATCTTTGTAATACATTCTTAGAAGTGCAATCTCTGGGTCAAAGGGTAATTGCATATGTAAAGTAAAATAAATAACTGTTGCTGAAAATACCACCCCCGAACCCCAGGGCTCATACCATCACGATTTTGGATTTCCACCAGCAATGTGTGAGGCCACAGCCTCGCCCTCAGAGTGTGTGTGGTTAAGCTTTGGGGGTGGGAGGGTTGCCAATCCGACCGTTGAAAAACGACCTCTGCAGAGTGCGCCCATCCCCACCCCTACCCCAATCCCTCCACCCACTCCCGGGGTTACCGCAGGAGCAGCAGAACTGCGAGCAGTGGTGCGTTCCCACCGGTGCACTGGCTGAACGCTCGGGGGCGCTTCCTTACCCACTCCCGCGCTGCGCCACCTGCGGGCTGGCTGCTTGCTACTGGGAAGAGCCCTTGCACAACAGACTCAAAAGAGGAAGCACAGAAAGGGCTGGAGTAAGCACTTGGAAGACAGTTTTGAAAGAAATCGCTTCTCGGCTTTTGTGGAACCCTCATCTGGCCCCAAATCCCCTAGCCACTAATAAATATGTCGAAGCGACTAAGTAGAGTCAACTAGCCAGAGGACGATCCTGAGAGAAGGGGGCGAGGCACATTTAAGGGAAGGATGAGACGCGTCACAACTTTTCCCAGAATTAAAAGAAAGAAAAAAAAAAACGTGTTTCTTCAAGGTTGTAGTGTAGAGGGGGCTAGTAAGAGGAAATGAGGCACAAACCCAATGAGTAGGACAGAGCAGGCTAGCTTTTTCGCAGTCGTTGTCAATCTATGTTTCTCGTGCGTGTCTCCAACCAGGAGCTCCCTTTACACTTCAATGCAAAGTAGCGCCGCAAGCGCCCCACGTCTGCGCGCCGCGGGGGAAGGGCAGGGCTGACACCACTTCCTCCCCGAGACAGCGGACCTGAGCCGAGTAGAGCCCAGTACAACGTGTCCCCTTCCCGGCTGGTGCCCCGACGCAGACCCGCACCCTGCCTGCGACCCGATTAAGTCCAGCACAGCCGTCGAGGTAAGCTGTGTGGACAGGCCTGGGAGCGCTGGGAGCTGCACCTGGGACCCTCGGGGCTGTCACCGCATCATGTGTCACGCCCGTGGGGTCCCAGGCGCGACCCAGCGTTCCCGTGTGAACGCGCCCCCCCATTCCCGATTAAACCCCGACTCCTGGGGTCCCCACCGGTGATGGCCTCTCTTCACCCAGCTCCGCGAGGGTTTGGGGTTGGGGTTCGCCTTCCCCGCGCTGGATTTCATCAGATTTGACTGATTTCCTGCCCCGAAAATTGCTACAAGATCTAACCAGGAACCGGTATGAGCTGTCGTCTGTCAGCCAAGTCCAGGAGCCTGACCAACTCAGACGGGATTCCTGGGGCATTTCAGGGCACTGTAGATTAAGTGCAAGTCGTGTGGGAATTTGAGTTTCCTTTCTTTAAAAGTTTCAGACAACTGTTTCTTCTTTTTTAAAATAACGTTTCCTCCGAATTATTGTCCTATCGTTTTAAAATAAAATAGCAAAGCCCTTGCTGGTGTGGCTCACTGGATTGAGTGCCAGCCAGTGAACCAAAAGGTCCCAGGTTGGATTCCCAGTCAGGGCACATGCCTGGGTTGCAAGCCAGTTCCCTGGTGGGGGGTGCCAGAGAGGCAACCACACATTGATGTTTCTCTCCCTCCCACTCTCTCTAAAAATAAATAAATAGAAAATCTTTAAAATAAGATAGAAGAAAAAATCTGGACATCAGGCAGAATTCTTGGAACTTGGCTTGGAACTGAATGTCCAAAGTGTGATTTTACAGCATGAAGGAAACAAGTAGGATGCCTTACATCCTGCAGGACCTCAGCGCAGGGTCCCCACTGAAAACCTTGCCCAGTGTACCTCTTACTCTCCTTCTACAGCCGTATTTTTTATTACTCACACATGTGGAAGACTAAATGTTCTGTTCCTAGCCATTCACAGCAAAGCAAGTCAAAAAGAACGTTTAATGTGACCATTAGAGAAAGAGAAATGGAGTAACAGAGGAAAGTAACACAGAGGGAAAAGGCACATGAGTTTATTACTCCCCAGGATATTGTTTCTGGTGGTATAATGTGGTTTGAACAAAGGCAAGGGTACTAGTTACTAGCAATTTGAAATGCTAGGCCTTTGAGTGGAAATTTCAGGAGGAGAGCTTTTGTCCCATTGCATAAACCTCCCGTGGCAATTTCCCCCTGGCTTCATTGAAATACTGGAACGGCACATGGGCAGTCTTACAGCAAGGCTGGCTGGCAAAATTCATAGATGGTCCGCTAAGGAATACGTCATGTTTTCCAAATGGTATTTCCTGTCTGCTCAATGTGTCATGAAGGGTCTAAGAAATTTAATGTCATCTTAAGACTTTCAGTACTTAATTATTTTCACAGTGTTGTTATTTGTGTCTTTTCTGGGTATTTGGGAGACTTGGGTTCATGTCTGTCTTTAACTAGAACAAGGATGACCCTGATTAAGTTGTTCTAACCTTTCTGTACCTGAGACATTTTACCAGTTTAATGAGATTATTGGACTACATTATATCTGTCATTAAAATAGCAGTTAAGAAATTGCTATAATGCTTTGAATTTGTCCTGTCTAGAATGCCAACAAAGTTAGAATTGCTAATCATTAACCAAAAAGAATGGAGAAAATGATGATAATAACAAATTTTGTTAGGTTCTGAAATATCAATGCTTTTGTTTCTCTAAAAACAGAGTCAATTTCTGGCCTATAGATGTTGAAAAGCTGAGTTGATGTGCCCAGGTTTGGGCAGGTCAATATTAGATTTCAAAATTCTTCAATTGTTATTTCTCAAGACATGTAACTGTAATGGATTACTTTATGATTTAGTTACTTTAAATCTTAACCATAATACTTACTAATGATGTAGTGTCTATTAAATTTTTCTATTTTTATATCCTAGGAATGCATACTATTTACCCACTTTTTTTATCTTTTTTCACTTGTAAATAAAAAGGTCTAGACATGTTCATATTATTCTTTGAATGAGCTACTTATAAAATTTATTTGTGTCCATGACTGTGTTTAATATGCACTTAAAATTTCTTTAAACTATCATACTTTCAAAAAGCATCATTATTTTCATTTACTTCTAATCCTCCTCCATTTTATTTTAATTATTTTTATATCTAATACCTTTTAGTGATTCCACAAATCTTATAATAAAGTTTGTACTTTATAGTCTATCACACCAAAATCAATTTTATAGAAGCTCATGAGTTTATTTTATAGACAATAGAATGATCTTAGTAATTCTTGCCTCAAAATACAACAATCTTCTGAACATAATTAATATTTTAGTGTGAAGATATGTATATATTTTATAGCAGTCTTGTCATCCTAACTGGCAAGTAGTAACTTGAACTTTAAGCATTTATTATAGATATAAGTACATGATAAATGCCAGAATTTACGGCATTGGTACACTGGTTGTATAGTAATTTTTATATGTTATATATATATATATGTTTATATATTTGTTTATATTTGTTATGTTTATGTTTATAATTGTTATGAGAAACATGACTTTTAGAGGAAACTACTATGTATTTGAAAAAGTAACAATTAGATTTCCCTTGAGAAGAAAGAATAGCAGCACTAAGGTATAATGTTTGATGACCTACAAATAGTTTAAGAAGCTAGATTGTGCATGAGATGTGACAAGTCAGGGCCTGAGGACAGCTTCTAAGGACTAGAGGATGTGACCTGCCACCACTGCATCTCTGTTGCCTAGCCAAATCCCTGGCACCATAGACAGGACTCCAAAAGTATTTGTGCAATGTACAGATACTAGGTCAGTTCCCCATCCGGGCTGTACCATCAAAAGGTCACAAGCCCAGCTGACTCTGTTGGTACTGACCCTGAAGCATGAGCAGGCAGAAGTGTCCCACCACTCCAAAGGACCACACCTTCTCAGTACATTCAGTATATTGAATTCATGACTCAGTTTCCAAATATTTCATCAGCATTGACTATGCCCTTGAATCATTAAAACTCATAAGAGCTGTTTTTTTTCTTCTTCATCAACTCAGTTTCCTCTTTATCACCAAATGGTAATTGTAAACAATAATTGTAGCTTATATTCTGTACCAGATGGTGTGCTAACTAATTTAGATGTGTCATTTCATTAATCTTCACATCCTGGGCTTATACTATTATTGTGCTCCCACTTTCATCACTGAGCAAATGAAAGCAAAGAGAGGTTAAGAAGATTATACGGAGTGTCAGAGCACAGTTGACCTTTGAACCCAGCCAGTCTGATGCTAGATCTGGACGTGCTGTACCAGGGACAAGGGCTTAAAAGGTGAAAAAACAAGGGGCCTTTCCTTGGTGCACTTCCAGTCTATTGGGGAGACATCACTGGGCAGTTACAGTCCTACATGTGACCAGCACCTGTGCTGAGACAGCACATACCAGACCCTTCCATCACACTGGGGTCTGAGAAGAGAGGCTGAAGGAAGTCAAAGAACTTGCCTTGTTAGTTTTTATTAGGTTCTTCTTAGTGGGAAGACAAGATAGTATAATCAATTGTGAAGTTATTATCTTTATATGTGTCTTTTGAAAAAATAACCTTTTTTGGCAGCAATAATATGTCTTCATTTTATCTTTATTATATTGTAATCCATCTTGATATCTTGCAAGTTTGATTAAATCAATGACACGGTGAGTATAATTTTTTTTTCTAATTCTGCTGGAGATCTTTCTGATTTGATCTCATAGCACAGGCTCCTCAGTGAGATGGTTTTCTTAAGACATAATCATTAGGCTGAATGTGCTGGTTTATTGAAAGCATTCAGAAAGCACGCACATGTGTTTGCAAAGACCTCAAACAGGAAATTAGACATTGGTCCTTGGGAAACAAATTAGAGTAGAGTCTCTACCTACTATGGAAATACTTAGTTCAGTAGTAGCTCGGTCATTCATGAAATGACCAAGATTCATAGGTAGTTACCTGCACCTTATAAGTGTAATAAAGAATGTGGAATTTAGGAACTACTGATTTTTACACAATGCTTAGATACAATTAAAATTGTATCTATTTTATATACAATTCAATTACTTCAAAGATATTTGCCAAGTACTATTCTAGGTGCTTGGGACATGTTGGTGAAAGGAAGAGACAAAGATCTCTGCATTTGTGGAGCTTATATTCTGGTAAGGAGACACATCCAGTAATCAATAACCACAATAAATAAGTAAATAATATAGATATTAGTAAGTGAAAAGTACTATATTAGTTTCAGGTGTACAACATATGGACTAGACATTTATATACTTTGTGAATAGAGAAGCCCCGTGGCTCATCGGGTTGGAGCATCGTCCCGTTACCAAAAGTTTGCCAGTTTGATTCCCAGTCAGGGTGCACATAGAGGGCGACCAATCAATATTTCTCTCTCACATCAATATTTCTCTCCCTCTCTCTCCCCCCTCCTCCTCTTCTTCCACTTCCTCCTCCTCTTCCCCCAATTCTCTTTCTCTTTCTCCCTTCTTCTCTTTGTAAAAAAAAAAAATCAACAAACATATCTTCGGCTGAGGATTTAGAAAAAAGACAAAGTTGAGCAAAGTAAAGTTACAGTATTATAAAAGGTCAGGCTTGGCCTCGTTGAGAAGATAAGATTTGAGCAAAGTTTAAAGGAGTTAAGAGGCTATCTGAGGGAACGGTGTTCCAAGCATAGGGAACAGCCAGTACCAAGGCTATAAGGAAGGGGGATACCTGGTATACTCAAGGAACACAAAGGCCCATGTGGCTAGAGGTAAGTGAATAGGGAGAGAGTAACAGGAGATGTGGCTGGAGTAGAGGTGAGAACGGAGTGAAGAGGTGGCAGATCAAATAGGGTCTCCTAGGCCATTTAAAAACTGTTAGCTTTTACTCTGAGTGAAATTGAGGGGCCATCGGAGGATTCTGAGAAGAGGAGTAAACCTGATCTGTCTGACAGTTAAAAGGCTTCCTCTGGCTGCTTAAGAATAAACTGGAACAAGCGAGGATG